TAAAAGACATTAAACGAAAAATAAATATGATAAACAACAACTATTATATTCCACTCCAGTTGTTCACACAATATATATATATATATGTAAGTTTGGTAAATCATTGGAGATTAAATTGATGTTATCATTTTTTGCCTGATTGGTAATCCAATATTTGATGTATGTTTTACAAAAAATATATGCTGTTTTTGTCTCGCTTGACGGAGTCAAAAAGCGAGGCATAGGTATGCTGTTTCTGGCGTTGGTGACGACAGCGGCGTCAACAATGTATTAGTTTGTGATTAGGTCTAGTTTATAGTGAACCACAAGTAGTAAGTCGAAGATATTTGGTATGCAGTTGTATTAGTATTGGCACATCTCATTACCATGGAGATTATTTGGCCCCGCCCCCTCAGTTATGGTTTATTGACTTAATTTGAAATTCTTGCTTAGTCTTCATGTATTAGTTTGTGATTAGGTCAGTTTATGGAGAACCACTAGTGGTAAGTTAATTATGATTGGTATGCAGTTGTATAAGCATTGGCATATCTCATTTCCATGGAGATTATTTGGCCCCACCCTCTCAGTCATGGTCTATTGACTTTTAAATTTTTGCTTAGTTTTCATGTATTAGTTTTTGACTAGGTCAGTTTATGGGGAACCACTTGTGGTAAGTTCATGATAATTGGTATGCAGTTAAATACGCATTGGCATATCTCATTTCCATGAAGATTATTTGGCCCTGCCCCCTCAGTCATGGTCTATTGACTTTGAAACTTTTGCTTAGTTTTCATGTATTAGTTTGTGATTAGGTCGGCTTATGGGAAACCACTAGTGGTAAGTCAATGATATTTGGTATGCAATTGTATTAGCATTGGCACATCTCATTACCATGGAGATTATTCCCCCCCCCCCCTCAGTTATCGTTTATTGACTTTAAAATTTTCTTAGTTTACATGTATTAGTTTGTGTTTAGGTTTTTTAAAGGGAACTACTTATGATAAGTCAATGGTATTTGGTATGCGTTGTATTAGCATTGGCACATCTAATTTCCATGGAGATTGTTTAGCCATGTACCTTTAGTCATGGTTCATTGACTTTGAATATTTGCAAATCTTACATGTTAAAGTGTTGCTATTTTAATTTCAACATTTGCATTATCGAAATTACTAAAAAGCAAGACATATCTCTGTGATTACAGTTTATTTTTTTTATTACAGCAACTGTATTCCAAGAGTCTGATGGCTGATAATGTATTACAGGATTTTATCATTCAAGCAACATCTTAGAAGGATAAGTGCAAATGTATGAAGGAAGCCTTGGGTACAAATAGCAATTACAGCAATTACATGCAGGAGAGAACTCTTAACATTACTAACAGACATGTAGTCATTATATGGGAGTGGTGTATTCAAGAAATCTAAAACACATGGAATTAAATATCGTGTATATTTTTTCAACCACAAGTACTCTCAGAATATAATACAATTCAAATTCAAATTATTGTGCCAACATGACAATTACAGTCTAAAAATGGAAAATGCATGTTTTAAACTGATTTTTATATAAATATTTGAAATAACAAGAATTTTTAGTTTATTGTGCAGCCAAACTTTGAGATCTTCTAATGGTATATGCCTGTTGTTTGTCAACATTTGTTTTCTTTTTGCCTTAACCTTAAGATTGGTGTTAAAATGAAAAACTGAAATAGATATATGAAATAAGAAGGAAATGGTTGTAAATAACAGCAAGACTTTCAATATGGTATATCAAAATATATTTCACAGAACTTTCTATTTCAGTTTATTAATACAATGAGATATGAGGTATAAATAAATCAGACAGCTACACAACAAAAACACATGAAAGGCATTAAGGTGCTAACATACAGTCCTCAACAATGAACAGGTGTCTAAACAATGTCATGATCTACTTAATTAACCAGAGTCTATACCAATCAAAGAGCTGCCATCAACACCAAATTCTTTATATATTTTTTTTTATTAGGATGAGACTTAGACAACCACTGAAAAGGTTCCTGGCTTGAAACAGGCACAGGAATATGTGGCAGGGTGAAATACTTTTTTTCTTCAAAACTTTCAAAAGAAAAATTGGCATCTTTTGCAAGTAAAACTATTTCCATAATGGGATTGGATTGTCTCATGGCTGATAACCACAAAATGACTTGTACATACATATTAAAAATGAAATATATATTAGTGCATACATATTCTATAAATGAATCACCAATCCTTACATGACTTTTAAAAAAAGTATTGAGACTTGAACATAACCGAAAAAATTCTAGGAGTGAACTAAGGTGACCTGGATATTTGCTTGCCTTCTTTGTTTTATTGCATCTTATCTCTTGCATTGGAGATATTGTGAGTTGGGAGTTGATAGATAAATATTTTTTGTATTGTTTAGGATCAAGAAAGTAAAATATAATGGAAGTATGAACACATAGTCAAGACCAAGAAGAATATTTATATATCAAAATAGAATGTGTACTAGATTAGCATTAACTTATCTAAAATATGCTCAAATACTGTGAATTTGTGTGATTGATGCTCAATTCACCTTAATTTCATTTTGCCTGTGTATATATAGAGAAAACACATGTATAACGCATGTGTTAGAAAAATGTGTTAGAAATTGCATGTAATTCACATGAGAACTGAGAAACATGTCAACAATCATGGTAATTGGACAAATAGGAGGACATTTTGAAAAATATTTAATACAGGCACCATGCCTTTTACATGTAGTAATCACGCATGTATCACAGGTGTATTTCCTTACGCATGTGATTCACATGTGAAACGCATGATCACATGTGTGTATCATGCGTATCACATGTGTTTTTCACACATGTGTCACATGCGTGGCATGAAACGTCTCTTTCACATGCGTGTGACACACATGTGAAACGCATGTGTCACGCATGTACACATGTGTGGCATTTTTGCCAGTGTATGTCATTATCATAAAACTATATTTAAAAAAATTGAAGTGTGAGGTAAACTGGATTGCTGAATTTCATAAATTGAAACAATCTTTTCCACAAAATTGGATTCACATAGTTACAAAAGAAAATTCTGTTAAAAGTACAGTAAATGTCCAGAGAAATAAGATCACATGGAAAGATCGTTATTTTGAGACTACATGTTTTTCAAATAAAATGTTTTATGATTCACTAGTGAGCAATAAAAAAGAATTGTCAGTAGGGATAAACAGGTGGCTTAAAATTCTATCAATGCAAGAAGCACCAAATATGAATTCATTGTATAACTTTATTTTTAAACATTTATCTGAACATAAATTAAAAATCTTCAGATGAAAGCTATTACAGTTTATTGTACCAACAAAAAAGCTTTTATTACAATGGGAAAAAACTTACAATAATATGTGTAATTTTTGTAACTTAGAAGAGGATTATGCTCACTATTTTTTAAATTGTTCTTGTTTGACAAGATTTTGGCAAAAAATATACGATCTCTTAAAAAGAAGTAATATAGATTTTTTGTAATAAAACCACAACACCTAATATTTGGATACAAAATCACAGACAACAAGTACTACTCAATAAATGTTTTAATTACAATACTTAGTTTTTCTATATATGAATCATACTACACTGGCAAAAATGCCACACATGTGTACATGCGTGACACATGCGTTTCACATGTGTGTCACACGCATGTGAAAGAGACGTTTCATGCCACGCATGTGACACATGTGTGAAAAACACATGTGATACGCATGATACACACATGTGATCATGCGTTTCACATGTGAATCACATGCGTAAGGAAATACACCTGTGATACATGCGTGATTACTACATGTAAAAGGCATGGTGCCTGTATTAAATATTTTTCAAAATGTCCTCCTATTTGTCCAATTACCATGATTGTTGACATGTTTCTCAGTTCTCATGTGAATTACATGCAATTTCTAACACATTTTTCTAACACATGCGTTATACATGTGTTTTCTCTATATATACACAGGCAAAATGAAATTAAGGTGAATTGAGCATCAATCACACAAATTCACAGTATTTGAGCATATTTTAGATAAGTTAATGCTAATCTAGTACACATTCTATTTTGATATATAAATATTCTTCTTGGTCTTGACTATGTGTTCATACTTCCATTATATTTTACTTTCTTGATCCTAAACAATACAAAAAATATTTATCTATCAACTCCCAACTCACAATATCTCCAATGCAAGAGATAAGATGCAATAAAACAAAGAAGGCAAGCAAATATCCAGGTCACCTTAGTTCACTCCTAGAATTTTTTCGGTTATGTTCAAGTCTCAATACTTTTTTTAAAAGTCATGTAAGGATTGGTGATTCATTTATAGAATATGTATGCACTAATATATATTTCATTTTTAATATGTATGTACAAGTCATTTTGTGGTTATCAGCCATGAGACAATCCAATCCCATTATGGAAATAGTTTTACTTGCAAAAGATGCCAATTTTTCTTTTGAAAGTTTTGAAGAAAAAAAGTATTTCACCCTGCCACATATTCCTGTGCCTGTTTCAAGCCAGGAACCTTTTCAGTGGTTGTCTAAGTCTCATCCTAATAAAAAAAAATATATAAAGAATTTGGTGTTGATGGCAGCTCTTTGATTGGTATAGACTCTGGTTAATTAAGTAGATCATGACATTGTTTAGACACCTGTTCATTGTTGAGGACTGTATGTTAGCACCTTAATGCCTTTCATGTGTTTTTGTTGTGTAGCTGTCTGATTTATTTATACCTCATATCTCATTGTATTAATAAACTGAAATAGAAAGTTCTGTGAAATATATTTTGATATACCATATTGAAAGTCTTGCTGTTATTTACAACCATTTCCTTCTTATTTCATATATCTATTTCAGTTTTTCATTTTAACACCAATCTTAAGGTTAAGGCAAAAAGAAAACAAATGTTGACAAACAACAGGCATATACCATTAGAAGATCTCAAAGTTTGGCTGCACAATAAACTAAAAATTCTTGTTATTTCAAATATTTATATAAAAATCAGTTTAAAACATGCATTTTCCATTTTTAGACTGTAATTGTCATGTTGGCACAATAATTTGAATTTGAATTGTATTATATTCTGAGAGTACTTGTGGTTGAAAAAATATACACGATATTTAATTCCATGTGTTTTAGATTTCTTGAATACACCACTCCCATATAATGACTACATGTCTGTTAGTAATGTTAAGAGTTCTCTCCTGCATGTAATTGCTGTAATTGCTATTTGTACCCAAGGCTTCCTTCATACATTTGCACTTATCCTTCTAAGATGTTGCTTGAATGATAAAATCCTGTAATACATTATCAGCCATCAGACTCTTGGAATACAGTTGCTGTAATAAAAAAAATAAACTGTAATCACAGAGATATGTCTTGCTTTTTAGTAATTTCGATAATGCAAATGTTGAAATTAAAATAGCAACACTTTAACATGTAAGATTTGCAAATATTCAAAGTCAATGAACCATGACTAAAGGTACATGGCTAAACAATCTCCATGGAAATTAGATGTGCCAATGCTAATACAACGCATACCAAATACCATTGACTTATCATAAGTAGTTCCCTTTAAAAAACCTAAACACAAACTAATACATGTAAACTAAGAAAATTTTAAAGTCAATAAACGATAACTGAGGGGGGGGGGGAATAATCTCCATGGTAATGAGATGTGCCAATGCTAATACAATTGCATACCAAATATCATTGACTTACCACTAGTGGTTTCCCATAAGCCGACCTAATCACAAACTAATACATGAAAACTAAGCAAAAGTTTCAAAGTCAATAGACCATGACTGAGGGGGCAGGGCCAAATAATCTTCATGGAAATGAGATATGCCAATGCGTATTTAACTGCATACCAATTATCATGAACTTACCACAAGTGGTTCCCCATAAACTGACCTAGTCAAAAACTAATACATGAAAACTAAGCAAAAATTTAAAAGTCAATAGACCATGACTGAGAGGGTGGGGCCAAATAATCTCCATGGAAATGAGATATGCCAATGCTTATACAACTGCATACCAATCATAATTAACTTACCACTAGTGGTTCTCCATAAACTGACCTAATCACAAACTAATACATGAAGACTAAGCAAGAATTTCAAATTAAGTCAATAAACCATAACTGAGGGGGCGGGGCCAAATAATCTCCATGGTAATGAGATGTGCCAATACTAATACAACTGCATACCAAATATCTTCGACTTACTACTTGTGGTTCACTATAAACTAGACCTAATCACAAACTAATACATTGTTGACGCCGCTGTCGTCACCAACGCCAGAAACAGCATACCTATGCCTCGCTTTTTGACTCCGTCAAGCGAGACAAAAACAGCATATATTTTTTGTAAAACATACATCAAATATTGGATTACCAATCAGGCAAAAAATGATAACATCAATTTAATCTCTAATGATTTACCAAACTTACATATATATATATATATTGTGTGAACAACTGGAGTGGAATATAATAGTTGTTGTTTATCATATTTATTTTTCGTTTAATGTCTTTTACGTAAATTGGAATTGTATTACATCTGTAATTTCAAGACCTTTTATAGCTTGCTAGATGCAGTATCAGTTTTGCTCATTGTTGAAAGCTGTTCATACAGTGATCTATAGTTGCTAACATTCAGTCATTTGGACTCTGGTGGATAGTTGTCTCATTGGCAATAATACTACATATTCTCATTTTTATCAACATAAATTACCGTAATAATGAAAACTAACTCTATTCATGCATGTGTACTACACATTACCTGTATATATAATATATACTAGAATACTCCGGGACATCATGGTGTTGTGACTGAAGCAAAGTACCTTAGCCTTATTTTTAGCCTGAATTTTAAGATTTTTCGTTTTGTCATCTAATAATGTCATGCTGGTCATTAGGTGCACAGTTTTCTCTGCTTTCAAAATCTTTCTTTTTGAACCCTTCGACCCAGAACTTGTTTATTATCTGTAGTAATAATTATGTGGAAAACAAATGGGCCTGGAATGGTGTAATTTTTAATCAACACCATTGTCCTATATATATAAGTTATAAATAAAGTTGAATTCTTTGAATCGTCATTTTTATGTCATGCCGGCTCACAAATTGGACCTTGTTATTTTAGCATTATAGATCTAGATTACTAAGTGCTTGTAGAAACACAATTCCTCATTTTTCAAGCCCCTTTCTTACATGTCTTAACCTCATTTAAATTACAATACCAACTAAAAGCTCCAAGGAGCCTGTGTCGCTCACCTGATATTTTTTTATTTTACAATTGATGCATGAAATAATGCAACCGATATACTTTTGCTTTAGTTTCAAAGATATAAGTCAAAAACTGCATTTTTCCCCCTATGTTCTATTTTTAAACTAGATACCCTAATGCTTATTATGGCCAAGTTTGGTTAAATTTGTCTCAGTTGTTTCAGGAAAAGACTTTTGTAAAAGATTACAAAAATTTACGAAAAAATTGTTAAATTTGACTTTAAAGTGCAATAACTCCTTATGGGTTCAATTGACCATTTTGATCCTGTTGACTTATTTGTGAATCTTATTTTGCTGAACATTATTGCTGTTTACAGTTTATCTCTATTATAATGTTCAAGATAATAACCAATAAATTGCTTTGCCGAGCGCAGCTGGATATGACCACAGAGGTCCAACCCTGAACAGTTAGGGCAAATATGGACACAATATTCGCGCTTGATACAGGTCTGAATTTGGATTGCAATTCAATATTTGACACATAATAGGTTTCTGACACAGAATAACTGTAGTCAAAGAACTTAGAATTGGTTATATGATTTGAATTTATATTCAAAATTTTGCTTTTGTGTAATACACTATGCTGTTGCGAATTGACTTCCATCCCCTTTTTAAAAAAAAAAATAAATTTGAAGGATTTTCTTTTTGATTTTGAGGTCTGAAATCTTGAGGAAAAAAAATTGTCCCTCCCCCCTTTTTCCAAAAAAAAAAAAAACTTTCCCTCAGTTATGGTCATAATTTCAATTCAAATTTCCAAGATGTATTTGAATTACATCCCTTACACTGTAATTTGTACTTAAGTAATTGTCCATTAACCAGGACACCCTTGTTTTTTCTCACTTTTTTGCCCCCAATTCCTAAAGGGTTTGAGCCATAACCCCCCAAAGCCAATCCTAACCATCCCTTTGTGGTATGGAAACTTGTAGTATAATTTCATAGAGATCCATACACTGTTCCACAAGTTATTGTCATGAAACTAGAAAAATGCTTATTTGGGCCCCTAATTCCTAAACTGTTGGGACCATAACCCCCAAAATCAATCCCAACCTTCCTTTTGTGGTTATAAACCTTATGTTTAATTTTCATAGATTTCTATTTACTAATACTAAAGTTATTGTCCGGAAACCAAGTGTCTTTGGGCGACGACGACGACAACGTGATACCAATAATTTTTTGTGGTCGTATAAAAATTGAAAAAAAAATTCTTAAAATTACCAATTCAGGGGCAGCAACCCAACAACGGGTTGTCTGATGCGTCTGAAAATTCAACAGAGATAGATATTCACCTGATGAACATTTTTACCCCATGTCAGATTTGCTCTAAATGCTTTGGTTTCAAAGATAGAAGCCAAAAACTGCATTTTACCCCCATGTTCTATTTTTAGCAATATTGGCCATCTTGGTTGATGGCCAGGGTCAATGGATACATTTTTTAAACTAGATACCCTAGGGATGATTTAGGCCAAGTTTGGTTTTATTTGGCCAAATAGTTTCAGAGAAGATTTTTGTAAAAGTTAACAGACGACGACGGATGCCAAGTGATGAGAAAATGATGCAATTAACAGCAAAAGTTGGCGAGACACTGGGTTCTGCGGAACCCTTACGATATTTTTGAAATTGCCTTGGAATTCAGTATTTTTGTTATACCATTTGGAAATTAAATACTGTAACAAATACATACCAGTTACATTTATATATACTGTAGCTATAGGATCTCCTCAATATCTAATCCTGTTGTTAATTTCATTTAAACATATAATGTATATAGCTTCCCTTCCACTTACATCTGAGGAGCTAATTCTGAAAATTAAAATTCCTGTGATTATCATATAAAATCTTAACCTGATGCAGTCTGCTTTCCAATAAGAATAAATTAGGAATACAGTTATCCCTTGGCAAAGAGAGAGAAAACAAGTGATATTTTTATATTATAACCAATACTGCACATGGTAATTGGAACATCACTAGTTTTCTGGATTGGATTGTTGCTCACTTTGTCAGGATCTTTTACAGCTGACTATATACTGTAGAAACATTAATTTTCGTGGGGTTAAAATTTCGTGGTTTTGTCTCTTTACAAGATTTCATTTCGTGGTTTCCAGTAAATGGAAGTGATATTATATGTAGGTTAAATTTTCGTGGGGGTTTTAATTTCGTGGATATATTCTTTCCACGAAATAAACGAAATTAAATCCTCCACGAAAATTTCTGCTTTACAGTAGTATGGTTTTGTTCATTGTTGAAAGTCATACAGTGACCTAAATTTTTTTACATCCTCTTTGACTAATGGAATGTTTTCTCATTGACAATCCTACCATACATTGTAAGACCTTATTTATAAAATACTAAAAATTTCAATCTGTGACAATAACATTTTATGATTAAATAAGGTAATCTGATCAACATAATGAAGCAATTTTCAAAACACTCTGTCATTGTCTGACAGCGATCAAAGTAATTTTAACTTCTATGACAATGTACAATGATGTATATATGTGCAAGGCTCAAAACTAAGTATTACAACTAAATTCATACATATATCCATATACATTTACAAGGTACTTAAAAAATCAGCGAGACCGATGCATAAAATGTAGGTAAAAAAAAAATACTTTTGTTGGATCCTGCATCATAATTATTACAAGTTAATGAAGGCAAGTCATAATCATTGAGTACATGTACATTATATTTGAACTTAAAGTAAAGGATAATCTGATTAGTCTCTAATCAGTAATGAAGCCACACAACACTGTGTGATAACAGTGACATATAAGTCTCCCATAGATGCACATACTATTATTTTAGGTCTTTTGTATATATATGTTTAAGGTTACTTAGAATTGGCTGTTGACATACATGTACACATGGACTGTCAGGCATGGAGTCATTGGACCCTAGGTTACTCCAGTCCATTATCAGTCACTATCAATAGTCAACTCCTCTTTCCATTTGTTGTAATACAATGTACAGCTGAAAGGGAGAAAACAGTATTTTATTAATAGCATGTGGATGCAAGACTATAATAAGTATTCAAAGAGTTTTGCAAACAATTATCCATTTAGGAGAATTCTGTATTTACCTAGTGATGTGACAGTAAACAGTGGCGGATCCAGAACTTTTTATAACTAAAGGGGGGGGGCCACTCCAGTCATGCTTCAGTGATTCCCTATATAATCAACCAAATTTTTACCACAAAAGGGGGGGCCGCCCCCCCCCTGGATCCGCCTATGGTAAAATCAAGCTTAATGAAGGCCAAGCTTAAAATACAATACAGTTATCTACTTTCTAATGCAGCATATTAAAATAAATACCATTTAACAAATATTTTGCATTGTCTTTAGCAACTAAACAATGTGACGTCATATGCATACTCATGATGTCAAACATAAAATTCTAGAAGTACATTTTATTTATACCTTTCGTACGCTTCAGAATGGTTTCAATGTTGACAAAAAAAATGGAGGACCTTTCACTGGACTGAAAATTTCAAATAGTCCAGGACCTTTCATTTTTTAATGCAAATTTTAACCCCTGCATGTAGACCAATTTGAAAACCTGGCCCAAAATAAATAGACAGCTGCACCATGAGCACATGATACACCAATCGCTTATTCAAAGAATAAAGTTCAATAACTTTTCAATGTCATAATCAGACATTCATGAAAAACTAAAGGGAGGTTATCTTAATAGATATAAACCAGTCACCAAAGTTTCATGATAACTGCTCAAAGCATTGTCTGAAATATGAAAATCCCCCTTTTTTATGAATAAAATCACATAACTCTGAAACATAAAATCTAAAATTAATAAAAACCAAAAGGGAGCTTATGACAATAAATATAAACAATTCACCAAAGTTTTATGAAAACTGCTGTAAGCATTTTTGAGTTATTGTCTGAAAACTGGAAAATCTCTCTTTTTTAAATGAATATAACCCCACAACTTGGAAACATAAAATCTTAAATTTATAAAAATCGAAAGGGAGCTCATGTCAATAGATACAAACAAGTCACAAAAGTTTCTTGCCATTTGGTGAACACATTTTGAGTTATTGTCCCAAAACTGGAAAATCCCCATTTAAAGTTTTTTAATGTTTTTTGGATATCAACAACTTTGTCAAACATACATGGAATTTTGACATGGAATTAGTTATATCTGCACACAAGAACACACATTTGTATGTGTTTTTTCTGCATAAACATGTAATTCATAATTTATTAAAACTTCCGACATAGTCCCATTGTGCATCTCTTTTTTATGCCCTTGTCGTAACGGAGGGGGCATCAAGTTTTACACTTGTCTGTCTGTACATCCTTGCATACTTGCATTGAGAAATAGGTTTTATACCCTTTTGATATATTGAATATTTTGACATTACACAGTCATACTTTTCTTAAGACTGCATAAAATGACAAACTGTGAAACATTGTTACACTAAATCTGTTGAATGTAAACTGATAGATATTTTAGTTTGGGAAAACATGTTTTTTGCACCTTTTTTATTATAAGACCTATTGATGAATCCAGTCCTTTTTGGCTAATTTTGAAAGTTGGTTCTTATGTTGTTTGCTGTCTGCCATTACTGTATGTAGTTTATATTTTTCATCCTTGAAAGTTACTTTATTGTATTGATTTTTGTTCATTGTTTAAGGCTGTACATTGACCAGTAAATGTTTACATCTTTGTCCTTTGGTCTATTGATTGATAGTTGTCACATTGAGGATCATACCTCATCTTTTTATATTTATATGCTAGGTCATTGAAAAAGCTCCAAGGATACAACATAATTTAATTGTTATATATTTGCAAACTCATTCTGATAATGCAAAAACATAAATTGATTGACTTTTTTTCTTATTTTAATGTCCAGAGGCAAATATTTTATGTATTCTAAACGAGAACAACTTATCATGATCAATTAATAATATAGGCCAGTCTGACAATGCTTGTTTTAGACCCTTTTTGGTCTCTAATTCCTGAATGGTTTGGGCAAATACCCCCAAAATGAAACTTAACCTTCTACTTGTGGTACAATTTCATAGCAATTAAAATACTTATAAACAAGTTATTGTCCTGAATTTAGAAAAATGCTTGATTTGGGCCTTTTTTGGCCCCTAATTCCTACACTGGTTGAACCATGACGCCAAAAATAATCCCAACCTTCCTTTTGTGGTATTGAACCTTTAAATCTAATTTCATAGACATTCATACACTTAAACTGAAGTTATTGTCCGGAAACCAAATGTCTTCGAACGAGTTGATAGCAATATACGACCTCAAAACTTTTTTGCTGTAGTATACAATATGGTTGTTCTTTTAAACATTTTCATAAATAATCTAAAAGAAATGTAGACCTGTTTGGGATTGCTTGCAATGCAATTTTCATTACATTAAACAATATATATTTCCACGGAATAACTTCTGTAAACCTAAATTTTAATAGCACTTACTTTCTAACTCATACATTTCAAAGTGACATTATTCCTGTATAAATTGCCAAATAAACGGATCACCGATGTAATAATAAATCTTAATTATAAATTTAATACTAAACAGAAAACAATGAACTTGCGGAAAAGATGGTATACCGCCAACAAAAGGTGCAAAGGTTTTATTTCTTGGTTTCCTTAAACTGACCTCATCATGAATATCAACATTTTTTTTACGACTATGCCTCTATTGAAAACAGCATGCCTAAGTCACAGCTTCATAACTGTTGTGGCTAGACAAAAAAGAACAAGCGATTAAGAGAGCTTTGAATGCAATTTTCTATAAAAATGACCTGTAAAAAAAAAAAATTTGTCACTTCTAACATGGATAATTTTCGAACTTGCCCACAACATTACAAGAATCAAACTTTTAAACTCTTTGACCTCAAACTTTTAAAAAAATCTTCGAAACTGCATGTACAGAGCCTGACAAGAAAAAATTATTCAAACATAGTTATCATTTTCATTACATACCTCTCATCACAAAATTATTCATTGACTACTGCTCCTCATATCCACATAAATCAATAGGACAATCTATGACTCCACTATATAATCTAGAAAGCAATGCCTCAAATGAATTCTGTCCTGTTGCTTAGCTTCTCCTACTTCTCAAAGTAATTGTAATTTGTTGAAAAAGCTAAAATAAATAATGTTTAATAAAATGAAGTTATAATACAATGTATCTGCCAAAATTGCCTTTAATATTTTGATCTGGCAAAATTGGCTTGCTTTGATCTTTTAAAACTAGACCAACAAACTTTCCCTGAAAAAAAAATGACTACAAAAAAGTATTTAATCATTTTATTAATGTTCTAATCCATCATATAAATTCCATATGACCCTTGAATGAAGGGATGAACAAAAGTGATTACATGTACAGTATATATTACAGGATCTCTGAATCTGTCATGATTTATAATGCCAATCTTTGGGGATTAAGTTATTAATAATCATGATACTTTGAAATTTTAAGTCATTCAAAGTTGTTTAAATTACACCAAAAGTTGGACTATTTTATATAAGGTAGTATCTGAGAAATGGACTAAACCAGGCAAGGTTTGGTGGTAAATACATTGTACATGTACAATGTACTTTGTTTTTGGCTTTGAACTAGGTGTTAGTAACTGGGAGTACTCTCAGATCTGAACTTGGTCTTTTTTGTTGTGGGGATGTGTAAGTACCCACCACGTCTTGTGTGTGGTTTTGTTAGATGTCTTTCTACTTTGTATAGATCTGACGAGTTAAGCCCTTTTAACATCAATATACCAGGTTAGGAGGTGGGTTCGGCACCACAAACTACTAGTCTAGCCCCACCCCATCCTGTACATATTTGTATGTATGTGCCTGTCCCATGTCAGGAGCCTGTAATTCAGTGGTTCAGTTTGTCGTTTGTTGCTGTGTATCATATTTTGTTTTTTTTGTTCTTTGTTTTGTATATAAATTAGTCTGCTAGTTTTCTTGTTTGAATTATTTTACAAATTTGTCATTTTCATTTGGGGTCTTTTATAGCTGACTATATGGTATGGGGTTTGCTCATTGTTGAAGGATGTACAGTGACCTCTAGTTGTTAACTTTGATGTCATTTGATCTCTGATGGAGAGTTGTCTTTTCTCATTAGTGTAAACAAGATTTTATTTTGAAAATAATAAGGTTATTTAAACATTACAATATGACAGTTTTATTAGGATTGGAAAACAAGTGAATTTTCACGGACTTTTACCAATTCCTCTCTTTTCTCATTGGCAATCATACCACATTTTCTTATTTTTATATTTACATTACATACATGTAAAGTAGATCTTTCATCTTCTGGAGGTGTCTGATTCCTAAGTACATGTACAACAGGGGGCCCTAATTAACAGCATGATTTTGAGTCGGCTAAAAAACAATCAGATAGATTATGATACAATTAACAGGTTTCTTTGCAATTATTTTGCAAATAACTAAGCTAATGCAAGAATAAAGTTATTTTCCAATAAATACATAAATTAAATAATAGTAAATAATGAATCTACAATTATATTTTAAGAAGTGAAACATCATTTAAATTCAATAAATCATTGCCAAGAATCTGTCCGGTTTAAGGGAGATAACCCAATTTGAAAACAATTATTTGTATCGACAAGGACGATAACTCGTCCTCGCTCCATATGGGGTCACTTGCCAATTTGACATATGCGATAAGACGCACAATTAATGGGTTAAACACCCGCTGGTCTGTAAAGATAACTTCAGTGAAAACCAATACCAGATGTTATCGACAAAATAATTTTGAATCATGTTTTCTGTATTTTGGTGTAGTTTGTAAAATTAATTGAAGGCCGGAGTTCCTAATCGATCTTTGTTGAAACCTGGGACTACTGAATTAGTGTATTAGTCCCAGTTGAAACATTGAAACGGCATGAAATGTTTTAACCAAATTGGTAAATGAAAAATGCATATAAATAAAAATAGATATTCTTATTCAAAATGAATTGAGCATCAAACTGACTGAAATGTAATTGAAATTTTAGTTCAACTATTTCACATATAATTGGCCGAAAAGCCGTTGTCTTACGGTTCTTTTTTATATATATATAAAAGGGGTACCTCGAGAATTCGGAATGTCTGTCATTTTATTTAATTTTAAACATCCATTGACAGTTCATAATTATTGAATTTAACAGTATACATTGAGTGAGGATAACAGCACAATTCCTCGAGTTAAATGAACTGTTGCTGGTTAATGTCTGTCATATTTGTTTTTCGTAAATTGTTTTTTTATAAAATAGGTCTTTAGTTTTCTCAATTGAATAGTTTCATATTTTTCATATTGGGGCCTTTTATAGCCGACTATACGGTATGCATTTTTCTCATTGTTGAAGGCCGTACGGTTGCCTATAATTGATTACGTCCACTTCATTTGAACTTTGGTGGATAGTTGTCTTATTGGCAATCATACCACATCTCTTTATTTTTATATGTATGTTGGATGTGTACTGGTAGATAATTTATCTTCAGATCGGTACTTTAGATCTTTTGTCTTCTGTAGATAATTTTTTCGTGCCTATCTGACAAGGAGGCCTTTTCCTACTAATTTCAACAGTTTGGTCTTGTGTTGTGCTTTTATACCACTGCCCTAGGTTCAGTGGGATTAAGATAGATTTGAGTACTTACAAGCATGTTTAACCCCGCCGCATGCCACGGTTTATAGTTCTGTTTTAAGTCAGGAACAAATTACTTGTGATTATGTGGTTGTCGTTTCTTGCTGTCTGAAATATTTATTTTCTTGTTGTTATTGTTTTAGCATAAACTAGTTCGTTGTTTTTTTCCCCGTTTTAATTGTTTCGACAATTAACATGAGATATGTCAAAACATGTATAACCCCGTCGCATTTTTGCGCCTGTCCCAGGTCAGGAACCTCTAGCCTTTGTGTGTGTTTTTTTTAAATTTTGGTTCATTTATATGTTTCGGAGTTTGGTGTGGCGTTCTTTTCGCCGAACTAGTATACATTATTGTGTAGGGGCCAGCTGAAGCCCTCCTGCGGGTGCGGGATATTCTCGCCCTGCGTTGAAGACCCAATGGTGGCTTTAGGCTGTTTTCTGCTCTTTGGTCAGGTTGTTGTCTCTTTTAACACATTTCCCGTTTCAATTCTCAATTATATCCTACAAAGCTTACTATACGATATGGGTTTAGCTCTTTGATAAGAGGCCGTACAGTAACTTATAGTTGCATGCTTTCAACCACGTCCTTTTGTCTATGGTGACAAGTTGTCTCATTGCCAATTTTACCACATCGTCTTATTTTGTAAATCATTGTATTTACTTCTAAGTTAAACCAGAGCCATACATATAGCTCTGGTTAAACCATTATTTATGAAGGAACGGGGGGTTTAAAGCTTTTCATACATTATGATAGCCAAGTTATTCAGTTAAAGCTTACAGAACCCTCTATTATCTTGTATATACCCTGAAGCTGACATGTTAATTGTCATACATGTACAAGTACCTGTTCAAAGCTAACAATTTTTACCGTTTTGTGAAGAAATTATTGATTTTTTATTTAATATTGTTTCGATTCAATAAATTTTAATTGAGATGAAAAGCTAGTGATAAAAAATTGACAAAGGAAATTTAATAAAAAGTAGTTTTTTTTTTTTTTTTTTTTTTTTCATTTTATACACTTTTCGTTTTAATTATTTTTGTCATCAACATGTTCCTTTTTGACGGCGAATGTACAATTTAAGTAATGAATGAATTTCAAAACTTTTTAACGGGTCTTGAAAGGAGCAAACCTTCCAATTTATTGTGCGCACATATTATTATTCGTGTATTTAGTTTCAAGAAATTAAATAACAGAAACTCGGTTTGATGTAAAATATATTATCAGATTTCATCTTGCCGTATCAAGTGGTCGAATTCGTGAAGTATTCTAAATGGGTTTATTATGCACTCTTTAAAGTGCGACGAAATGGAATTGTTCTCCTATATGATTGTGTATTCAAATCGTGTTAAAATTGCCTCAAAAAATGATTATCTATTGATTGTCAAGAAAACGAGTCAGTTGTCTGATTGACAATCATACAACATCTTCTTCTTTTTTTTTTAAATTAATGTGAATAGAAACCATTTAATGCCATTGAAAAAAAATATGATTGTGTATTGATAAAACATTCAGATGATCAAGCATTTATTTAAAGTAATGCGTTTTAGATTTTGATTGCATTCTAATGATATATTTATTAATTTTCGGTTATAACCACGTGAAAACAGGAACAAAAAATAACTTAAAATCTAATCATCTTCAACAAGGATTTGTATAGTGAGATATACAAATCCTTGTCTTTAATTATAAAAAACGTTAATTATAATTATATGGTGTTTTGCTATTCCGTCAACCCTAAATAAAGTTTATACATAATGTCGTTTACACTATATTACATTACTCTGGGAATATATTATGTCTCAGCATGACTGTATAAACACGATTGTATAACAATTTGTTATCTGTTTACACACAGGATGTGTCCTGTTGTCAAATAGAAATTGATAGAAAAAAAAACAAAAATCGCCTACTTTTAAATCAAATTTGGAGCAAGAAGAAAATAACCAATTTGAAAATAAACTACACCACGTTAAGCTTTAACTTTTCATCTGTTTCTTGGTCGCAGCAGCTAAGGTATATCATAAGTAAAAGTATTTAATTTATTTTTTCAAAGCTGACCACTCTTCCGAATAATGACATTTTCCTGTAAGAATAACGGCAAAAGTAAGCCATTTGACATCACTGTAAAAAATCAAAATTTGTTTGCAAGAAGTTCAAACTTTATTTTAAAATAATCTATATAATTAAAAAGAAGACACATTGAGGATTCTAGGGATCGCAGCAGCTAAGAAAACCATTGAGAAGAAACTTGAATATTGTCTTGTAAAGATTATTGTCCATATAACTTCTATATAACGATTTTATCCATGTAGGGTATCTGAATTCACGCATGCGCAATATTGACCGGACTGATTCTTGACAATGATCATATATTAAATTTCAATTTTTTTTTTTAATTCTGGGTAGATAAGTTTTCATTTTTTTAAAGTACATGTAGGGTGAGTTGGTAGACCTTTATCTGTTTATAATATATTTATTATATATTATCATGATTATATTCATTTGGATTTTACCCAAGTTAGGCAAGTTGCCACTGTTGGCAGGAGTACATTGTATATTAAACAGGATTTAATCCTTTTCACAAGTGGGGCGATTTTTTTTTAATGTGGGGCAAGCAAGTTGGTATGAAGGGAGCTACCACTTGATTTGGTGGTGGGGGGGGGGAGGGGCTAGGATGAAAATGTTATGAACAGTTATCCTGCATTGTTTTTAGTTGTAATATCTGTCCTGACAGTTTATTATTCATTCTTTTCGGTCCTGGCTTTTATTTTTTTACTCAAAACTCCTGTCCCCCATTTTTTCAAATCCCGTCAAAGCCCCCTCTCCCATAATAATCAAATGGTAGCTCCCTAAACAAGAGTGGAGCGATTTTAAAATAATGGGGCGTTTTGCCAATTGCAATGGGGCGAGTTGACTTGCTTCCGTTTTTGCCAATCTTTGACTGATTTTCAGGTTTATACAAGTCCAAATAATTATGACGTCTTGCAAGGCTATTTTAATTTTTTTTCTGGGACGCCTTCCTACGTTTTAATTTTTTTTCTGGGACGCCTTCGTAGGAAGGCGTCCCAGAAAAAAAATTAAAATAGCCTTGCAAGACGTCATAATTATTTGGACTAGGTTTATACATGCATGACATGGATAAAGTCAAATGGTTTTTCGTGAAAAGTATAACACTAGCATCTTCCTAAAAATGCGCACGATTATATTTACATTTCATTGCGCTTTCCAATTACAATAAGTTGGTACGTAATCCATCAAAACGAAACACTTTCGTTGCGTTGACTTTCGTTCCCCGGATTCAGTTAATCGACAATGTAAGTTACTAACCCATTTCAATATATCTGTTTATAATAACTTTTTGATCCATCAGTTTGAAAAATCAAAGGTCTTTGTATCAACTATCTGACTATCTTTGTCCATTCTTTTAAAACATGAATTCAGCAGCAGACGAGCGTCCATGGATTTTGCGTCATAGTATAAAAACGACAACGGTGAAAAGATTTCCGGGTTTCCGTATTCGACGCGCCAAGCTTTCGTACATTTACGTATATATATGAGAGTTAGTCTGGAATCAAGAATGGGGATTTAAATAAGGACACAAACAAAATATATAGATAGTTGAAAAGCAAAAATAAAGAAAGAAGGATCATAGAGAATAATTGAGTATACTTAATTATGAAGAATCATGCAAAGACATTATTCTCAGAGCATATACATGTCACTGGAAGAATTGAGAATAAATAAAAACTAAATAAAGAATATTCAATCATTTATATATTATTTATAACTCATTAACATTTTGTTCCATTCAGAATTAAATAACTCTGCTGAGGGGGGCATGGGAAGTTTGGAAAATTGACAAACGATAATTACTCTAAATTCTAATCAGAGGAGAATTAAATGTTAGACAGTTAGAGTGTAATAAATAAAATATAAACATATATTTTTCAAAATGATGTCACAGAAAACACAGATTTTTTTTTATTACTAATAAGATTCTGCAATTTGAGTATCTATGTCCAACAGATGTCAGTGAATTAGAAATTTTACTAATCTGATAGACGTTTAGTTAAGAATCTGTGACAAGTTCTTTTGTAATATTATTAGGAAATTGCCTACCGCCTCCTTGATTTAGAATTGCATACTCTTCAAGATTAAGGTAGCCTACACAAATAACAGCCAGTTTTGGACTTGATCTTTTTGTCCAAGGTTAAACAATATATTTTGTTTTATAATTTTCAACTCATGAACTATGCAAATATTTTTTACACTATCTCCTCATGATATTCGACGAAAAGCTCACCAGATCTTATCTCCACATGTTTGCCAATATGGCAAATCAAATCAAAGTTTTACTTACTTAATTTCAAGTTGGCAATTACATGTATATTCAAACCTAGGTTGCCACATGTTGAGCAGAAAGTTCCTAACTTTATCATTCACAATACTTGAGTTCACCCATGTATTTTGGAGGTTCGTGTTGCACATAAAGGCAGATTTAGAGCACCCTGCCCCTCCCCTTTTTGTGGCAAAAATTTGATCTACTATATCGGGAATCACTGATGCATGACTAGGGAGGCCCCCTCTTTAGCAGTCAGTGGGCCCCCTTAAGAAAATTTCTGGATCCGTCAATGGCACAATCTTTAGTTTTTATGTAATGTTAAGCCCAACGGGTTACTGGGAATTTCTGTACAGTATTTCATACCAAGGTTGTTTGGGTATCACAGTTTTAAAATGTTATCACCGTTGATCCAATAAACAAATCCTTGGTTGATCTATTCTTAAACAACTTCTTTCCAGTAGTACCCTCACAATGGTATTAATGACATTAATGCCTCCAACCTGGGACTATTATGGAGACTATTATACAATAGTCCCAGCTCCAACACTGATCATTGATATTTATGTTCCCCTTATAAATAGAATAGAGAAATTGAGGACATTTGTTCCACATTTTATGAACTTTGAAAAAACACAAGCACATGTAACTTTTGACACCACCTGCGGGCAAGTGCCTGCAGGACACTGATGTGGTGGCACGTGGGTGGTGGTAAGTCAGTGGCGGATCCAGAACTTTTCATAAGGGGGGCCCGCTGACTGACCTAAGGGGGGGCCACTCCAGTCATGCTTCAGTGATTCCCTATATAATCAACCAAATTTTTCCCACGAAAGGGGGGCCCGGGCCCCCCAGGCCCCCCACCCTGGATCCGCCTATGTAAGTTTATAACCGCCGTTACAGTAAACCCCTCTCAACCCACCAAATGCTTGCTTGAAACACAAGTAAAATATAAGCAGGTAATTATATCCTTTGCTTTTATTCCACACCAAAGATGAAGAAATGTATGATAAGTTATAATGGTATATTATTCTGTACATTGTATAAGCCTAAAAATTAAAGGGACGAAAGTATGTAGTGACTATTGTTTGTCGTGATTTAAACACGATAATAGTGTTGCTTTCCCCTTTATCTTATGAGCCGCATTGAACAGGACAGACTACCCCAAACACTCTGAAACTTTTCAAGTACTTTCCATATGCTCATGTGTATTATATTGTTAGCATAGTTTTGTACTTGGACAGATAATCAGAATGGTCAACAATCAAGCATTGACAATGTTAATTGGTCACGTTTGTTTGAACTACCAAACCAGGTAATTTTTAAATTTACACTTGTACAATCCAATGTCAATGTTACATACAATCAGTCATTTTTGTAACACAAGGGTTACAAATAAGAAAATACTAAATAAAATATGCAAATGTATAATTTAGTTCCAGAACTGTATGAAGCACCTAAGACTTAAATATATCTACTGGGTGTATCTGTCTGTCTTTTGTCCAAGATAGTTGGCAGATATATAGGAATAAAAAGAGATGTAAGGTTATTGTAACACACCTTTGAGAAAGTTATTCAAACAATAATAACAAAAACACAACACAACACATCTAGATATTCCAAGTTCTAAATCATTTTTTTTCAAAGTGGTGAAGATCAAAAGATCTGCAATTAACACCAAATTCTCCCAATATAAATACATACTTCATTTACCTGTGTATATGTATTAAAAGAAATACCAATGAAAATCTTAATTAAAATATATGTTTAAAGATTAAACTTTTAATTGTTCAAATAAGAAGAACATTTTATGGGGGAAGGGGGATGATTCACAGAATCCCCTGGCCTACTCCCTTTAGGAATTATATATAGAGAGAGACTTTTTACAAGTCTAGTCTCACTTTTTTTTAAGGATCCTGGACCCATATCTGACAATTATTGCAATTTTATATACTTTGCCTTTTTTTACTGCGATTATTTTCCTAAGCTGATTGGATAAAATACCATTTATTATGGTGACAATTAAGGATAATCAGGGGCTGATCCAGCCATTTTTGAAAGGGGGAGGGTCCCAACACAGGATAAAAGGGGGGTTCCAATTATGTTTCCCCATTTAAATGCATTGATCATTCAAAAAAAGGGGGTTTTCATGTGAAAATAATTTTTTTAAAAGTAAAATAAGATTTTCAATGGAATATATGTCTTACAAGGTATTAGATGTTAATAAACAAGTTTTAATTTTGATGTTAATTTTTTTCAACTTGGACACAATTAACTTTTTTTTCATGTGAATTTCACATGAAAAATTTAATGTAAAATTCATGTGAAAAATTTAACTTAAATTCACATCAACAAAATTTTCCTGTGTAACACATGCGTTACACATGCGTTACACATGCGTTTGACTATACATGTGTTACACATGCAAATATCGCATGTGTCACATGCGTTTTCCAACACATGCGTGACACAGGTATTTTTCTGACACATGCGATTCACATGCGTGTATTACGCATGTGAACGCATGTGTACCACGCATGATTCACATGCGTGGCAAGAAACATGTGTATTACGCATGTGACACACCTGTGACACATGCGTTTTTAGGTACATGCGTGACACATGCGTGGCATTTTTGCCCTAGTATGTATCTGAGAAGAAAACAAAAAACATAGATGTCTACAGAATTTTTGTGAATGAATATACTTAGAGAGTAGACACCAATATTAATGTACATAAGATAATAAGTCCAATGTTACTAACAATTAAAAAAAACATAATCAATGAATAATTTTCTAGTTTTGCTATTCTAGTGTTAACTTAACAAAATGTATATGTCAATAAATCTAACCAGCTGATTATACCCCGGGTAGTCAGTGGAGTGTAACAGGGTACATCAAGAGAAGCTTGGGTGGAATCCTGATGGTTTTTGTAACAAGCAATATTTAATGAATACAATTATAATGTTGTTAAAAAAAATGATCATTACAATTTTTTTATTCATCATTTTATGTTCTAGTAATTCCAATGAGAAACATAACTGCATAAAATTAGGCTGTCGGCAACTGAAGACCACTATACGTGTGTCATTTAACAACGACAAACAAGGACCCGTACCGTAAGCTATAAAGGACTCGGTAAAATGTGAAAAAAATAAAATGAAAATACCAACAGCCAGATTTATGACAAAACAATTAACAAATAACAAATATAACAGACATCAACCAAGGACATCCAATAGGTAACAGGCTCTTTATTGTTACAGGCATAATGTTCGTTAGTGCTCAACTGTTTCCTTAACTTGGGACAGCGGTATAAAGGAACAACATTGCATTGTATAAAATGTCCAAAAAATTAGTATTTTTCATAAAAAAAGGAACCACTGGTCAACAAATAATCATGAAAATCATAATTTACGTTCTAGCAATTCCAATGAGAAACATAACATAATATTGTAATATTATCTTTTCTTAGAAATAAATTACCATCCATCATGTCCATGGTCTTCAGATATTCAAATTTACTTTTCACATATACTGTGGATTAATTTATTTCTAAGGGTACCAATTTTCGTGGCTAAAGGAAAACATTGTAATTTCGTTGATACTTGAATGCATAGGTGTGCCAAAGTCTGCATACAAGCCAATAGAACATTTGTAATGATTCCATTCGTAGCTTTAGTCTTAACTAATGACATCCACAAAAATTGGTATTGAAGGAATAATAATAAAATCACATTGTGTAAGAATAAAATAACTTAGATATCTATAATTGTGAAGAAAGAAAGATAGTTACAACACTTTAATTCTTATTTCCGAAAGACAAATTTGACTGTGCAAATCAAGTTCCCTTTGATTTTCAAACTCATAGTTACATTTGAAACAGATATATACTGTGTGGTGTAGAAGAGTATGAGCTATGAGTTCGTTCTAAGCAGGAAATATTATTCTGCACGTTGTACAGCAATATATTTCCTTCGTTATGTATATACAGCCCTTTGATCCATGTTTCAGATCATGCATTGTTGTAAAACAAAAATCTGGACAGATAGAACACTGAAATTGGAATGCTTAAATTTAGCGTGAGATGAAAATGATGGTAAACATTTGAATTTTTCACTACAAATTTTACATTTGTAAGATCCTGTTATGAGCACTGTATGTAGATACAGATGTAAACTGCGCCACCAACTTGTTGAAAGTTTCCTGGTATTTTTTTCATTTTTTCAGACTCTCAATACAGTTTTTCTGTCTCT